AGGATGGTGTGGAGCAGTTGGTAAACTGTTTTCTGAAGTTGATAATTTTGAAAGAATTACTAAATTTACACCAATTCCTTTTTTGGAGCCTTTAGTTAATATGAGTGAAGATTTTGTTAAGCAAATGAGCGCTGATAGTTTAGTTGCATGGAAGTATTTAAATGCAATATTAAAAGGAAACCTTGATCCTGAAGTAGCAGCTCTTAAACGTGGTAGATTGTCTCACAGTTGATAGCTTACTTGTGGCATGAGATGCTTGCTTCTATATATGAGCAAACATGATCTAAAACCTTAGAATGCAGAGATCTTAAAGCTCCATGCAACTTGGGTGACACAGGTTTATCTTCCAATATTTTTTGAAATTAAAGTAAATCATGGCATTAAATATGGTTCTGGTCATCTTTTAAAGCTATTTCGATTTTGAAAGAAGCAAGATGATAGGGTTAAAGAAGCCTCTAAACCTTATCTAAAAAGTGAATCCTGGTGGGCTCATCCTGAAAATTTACTTGTTGCACTTCTCTGTTCTGATAACTCAGAACAAAGATCATTTGCAGTCGACATTATATTGGAAGTCAGGGCCGAAAGTGAACATGGCTCAACAGATGTAGAGATGTAGATACGTATGACCTTTTAAAGTTTCACAAACAATAAACCTTGATGCTATGGAAATTAAAGAACTTATTGATTGGAAAAAAGAAATCAGTACTGAACCAGTTTTCACAGCAAATTTGGCATTAGCCCAACTCAATGCATTAAGAGTTTCTCCCCTGGAGCTTCCTTTATATACGCTGCATACCCAAAGTTGTGAGAGGGCAGTCAAATTAGTTACCGAGGCAGCTGAGTCTGTGGTTGGGATAAAAGAGGTAGTTTTGTTCGAACTCAATTGCAAAATCGAGAAAAAATGCCAGTGATGAAATCTAAAAAAGACTTTGTTTAAGTGACCAATGCTAAAAAAAACTGTATTGTAAATTGTTCAAAACTTTTTCTATCTAGTTTTCATACAGAATGATTATATATATATATATATATATATATATATATATATATATATATATATATATATATATATATATATATATATATATATATATATATATATATATATATATATATATATATATATATATATATATATATATATATATATATATATATAAATACACTTACTAAAGCGTGTTTTGATAAGCATTTGTTCACTTTTTCTGCTTACCTTAAGCTATACTGTTTTTTTCGAAAAAGAAGAAAAAATAAAGAATTATGAATGAAATGATTGCTTCCCCATCCCAAACCCTCAGTCGATGTAGCAGCACTCCACTGCGAGTCAGGCTATTTGTCAGCCGATGTATATACTGAAGCCCCCAGCAGCAGGCTTTCAGTATGACGTCAGATTGCTTACCTTCAGACTTTCAGTATGACGTCAGATTGCTTACTAAGCAAGACGTTGCTTTATTTTCAAGCTTGTTAAAATTTATAAGTTTTTTTTTATTAATTTTTTTAAATTGTTTTTGCAATTATGGCATTCCCACTATTTAAATAAAGGTTTGTGTGTTTATTCAGGAGGGGGGGGGGGAGGGTGTAAACAATTCCAGTCTCTTTGCTTAACTTAAAAAAACTTTTGAAGGTTTTTTTGTTTATGTTTACATAAACAATAATTGTAACATATCTTGATAATTATAATAGAATTATCAAATTTTGGTAGGGGGCGGCCAGGACCCCTAAATGTTTTCATACATGCCTGGCAGAGTAATCTTGGGGGGTCAATGATAAATTAATCTGTTATATTACTTGTAGTTAATTTTTACTTTGTAAAAGTTTACTTTGTATTAATATTTGTCTAAATCATTTTAAAAATTAAACCCTAATTTAATTAGATTAATTTTAAATAAAACCATAATTTTAAAATTTGTTTCCCGGTAGCTAAACATTTATAATTTACAAAAATATTATTAAAATTGAATTCCCCATACCCAAATACATAGGAATCCAAGCATGCTAGTCAGAAATTTTGAAAATTTAAGTTTTCAGTGAAGTATGATATACCCTAATATATATCCAATATATATATATACCCAATATATATATATATATATATAATATATATATATATATATATATATATATATATATATATATATATATATATATATATATATATATATATATATATATATATATATATATATATATATATATATATATATATATATATATATATATATATATATATATATATATATATATATATATATATATATTATATATAACCCTCAGAATTAGGAAAATTGAGGTCCTAAACCTCTAGAAGATTAAGGTCCTAGACCTCAATTTTTTAGAGGTCGGCATCAAGGTCGGCAAATACAAAGGTCTTACCATAAAAACATCGAAACGAGGTAGGCAATACCGAATTTTTTTGACAACCGCAAACATGTTTAGGTCGGCAGTTAGGTACCTAATTCCAAAGGTTGATATATATATATATATATATATATATATATATAATATATATATAATATATATATATACATATATATATCAACCTTTGGAATTAGGTACCTAACTGCCGACCTAAACATGTTGCGGTTGGTCAAAAAAAATTCGGTATTGCCTAACTCGTTTCGATGTTTTATGGTAAGACCTTTGTATTTGCCGACCTGATGCCGACCTCTAAAAGATTGAGGTCTAGGATCTTAATCTTTTAGAGGTTTAGGACCTCAATTTTCCTAATTCTGAGGGTTATATATATATATATATATATATATATATATATATATAGATTATATATATATATATATATATTATATATTATATAGATATATATAGATAGATATATATATATATATATATATATATATATATATATATATATATATATATATATATATATATATATATATATATATATATATATATAGATATATATATATATATATATATATATATATAGATATATATATATATATAGATATATATATTATATATATATATATATATATATATATATATATATATATATATATATATATATATATATATATATATATATATATATATATATATATATATAGCAATATAGATGTCAATTTTTTTACCCAGAAAAATCCATATGGTTTTTTTCAAAAAAAAAATGAAAAAACAATGAACAATGAAAATAATTAATTTCTGCCATAAACCCAAACCCTCAGTCAATCTAGCAGCAACTCCTATGCATGTAATAAATCCCCTAGCAGATCAAAGTATGCTCTGACAAGTGCACATATACATAAGGGCTTAAAACACTTTGTAGCACATTTGAAGGCCTCAAATCAGGTATGGCATGCCCATGTGGGCTCCTATCAATAAAGCTGATGAAAAAGTAATTAAACAAGTACTAAAAAAACACACAAAATTATGCCATTTGTTAAGAAGCCTAAAATTTTTAAATCTCCACATTAATGTAGTGCACAGGTTGATTAATTGTGTCATTTATAAGGTGCCACTGTTATAGCAGCATTAGTCAAGGATTCAAATTCTATCAATGGATAATTTTTTTATGTTTTATTTGCTTTGTAGATATTAGAAAATATCATAGTTTCAAATTTTTAAATAATTAAGTTTTGAAGTAATTAAGCTTGGATTAAATAACATTGAAACTTCGATTTTTCTAAATTCATTGTAATGAAACACTTTTAGATTAAATAAAACATAAAATAATTTGACGCTTTTATTTCTTCTGGTTTATTTTACATTCATTTTATCATTTGTGATGATTTTTCTTTTTTTAATTTAGTTTTCTATATTTTTTTTAGTTCTAATTTCTCTTTCCATTTTGTAGTTTGCTTATTTTTAATATTAGTTTAAGTTTTCGTTTGTTTATTTAATAATATTATAATAATATTGTTTAAACAAAAATAAACAAAATATTTTTCCTTAAGAGATTCCTAAGTGCCGAGGATTCCCAAGGATTTCCCAGGTTGGTTTCCCAAAGGGATTCCCAAATGCTGAGACAAGCTATATTTATTTTGTAAATAAACATTAGAAAATAAGTTTTAAGTTTATTAAAATTATCAAAACAATTTATTTATTAAGATATTAACAAAAAAACATTTGTTGTTTCGTCATTATACTTCTGGTTGAGAGGTTCATATTAACTCCATGAATATGCATAGTTTTTTCTGTTGTAAAAATATTTGGTTTGAATAAAAAAAATACTTCAGAGTTATTATTAATTAAAATACTATTAGATTAGTATTTTCTTCTTTTTTTAATAAAACTGTTTAATGCATTAGTTCAACTGGAGACAAAATAAAAACTGTTATTAAACAAAGAATACCGCTTTTCTACTGTTTTATTGTTGTTTGTTTTATTTTTATTTCCATTAAAATTTTTCATTTTTATTTTCTGTGAAATCAAATTTATTTGCATTATTTCTTACTGAATCTATAAAAAATAAATTAAAAAAATAGTATTTTCAGTTTTAAAATTTATTAGCAGAACTTATTTTTAGCAAATATCAGTATAATTTTTAAATTTACATACCTTGTATTTGTAGCACTAATATTAGCTTTGTTTTTAAAATAAAATAAATATAAGTTAGACTTTTAAAGTGTTTACTTTTGATCCTGTTATTTTTACTTGGTTATTTTAAGTTTTATAAAAGGTTACATATTAAGGTATTCTTCTACATAAAAATTAATTGCAAATGGCAATCATTACATTTATAACTCGAGTTTAAGTTATTTGAAGAAATTATTTGTATTGATGTCATTTATTAACTACAAAAGCGCATTAATCAGAACAGTATTTTTTTTGAAAAAAAAATCAAAAAAAAATAAATAGCGTATAAATTTATAAAGTTTTTTGCTAATATCTCAATAAAGAATTTGTTCTAGAAAGTATAACTAACATGAAACTTATTTTTTAAGGATTATTTACGATATGAACAAAACTTGTCTTGGCACTTGGGAGATCATTTTAATGTTCAAAAGTACATAAATAATAAATAAATAAAATGTTGTTCTTACCTGTGAAAAAGAATTTTTTGAAGAATTAGTGTTTTTATATTGAAGAGCTGCTCTGTGTCTGTAAAATGCTGACTTACGCATTAAACCAATTTGTTCATAAATTGATGCCAGAACACTGGTAATTTCAATCTGAAATAAAATTATAAAATTGTTCTAATCATAAAATTTGAAAATACTAATATAGTATTACAACAAAGTTAAAATAATAAAAACTTAAAACAAATTATAATTATTAGTGTAACAGATGCTAAAATGTTTTATTATCTTACCTTTTCAGCATCATTAAAAGTTATTGGAAGATTAAGAAGGCTTTGAACAGTTTGTGAAATCTCAAGCTTCTTCTATAGAAACATTGTAGATGAGTATACAATAGTGCATGTTATATATAACATGTTCTATGTATTAAAAATTATAGATTTTTTTATCAATTAATTTTATTATAATATCTTTGCAGTAATTATGAACAGTTTTTTTTAATTTTGATTAAATTAATTTTTAGAGTAAATAACTTATGAAAATGTAATAATTAGAGTAAATAACTTATGAAAATGTCATAATTAGAGTAAATAATTTATGAAAATGTAATAATTAGAGCAAATAACCTATGAAAATATAATAATTAGAGTAAATAACCTATGAAAATGTAATAGAGTAAATAACTTATGAAAATGTAATAATTAGAGTAAATAACCTATACAAATGTAATAATTAAGTAAGAAAACTTGTCAAAAATAAAATTTCTATTAACAAAATATTTTTTATCAAGAAAGAAATCGAAACAGTTTAATAAAAATTATAAAGAAACATATAAACCTCAATGATAATGGGTGAAAATTTAATATTACAAAAATAATGAAATGAATGAGGATAATATTTTTACCTTTAGTTTTATCAAAAATCTTATAAATTTAAAATGTGCTTCGATTTCGATGGGTCCAGTTACATACCGCCTATAGTGACGAAGACACTCATTGTACTTTATGATTATCTCATCATCAGATAGATGTATGCAGGATAATACTTTACTAAAGGTAATGCAATCACCATTAACATTTATATTTGAATTATCTATAACTAACTCCTGTTGGTTCAGTTTCTTTATATCACTACCTATGCCGATAGTAGACGAAACAGCACAAAGCCCTTCTAATGCACTTCCAACCCATAAAAAATCATTTGCATTCTGCAACAAGTCAACTGACTGTTGATAATACAATAATGAATCTTGATAATATCCTGCAAGAAAACATAAATCTGCAAGTATCTTTTTATTACGTCCAATGCATTTTCTTTTGACAATTCTGAAAAAAAAATCATTTATAAATACTGCTATAAGTTCTTAAAATTTTAAATAAGGAAAAAAAAAAGATTATTTGCTTAATGAAAAAAATGAAAACTGATAATAAAAATTTCTTAATACCTAGTATCTGAATCAGATCCATTTTGGTCTTTATCATTGGCTGTAAGTGGCATTAACATTCTTTCAGGACTTTCATTAATTTTATCGATGCGCTTTGACTCAAGAATGACGTGAAGTGATGAAACAAAGGTACTTACAAAATGCAAAAACTCTGAATTATCTTTTTCATTGTCCATAGATAAATATAAAATATTTTTGTTTCCAATTATGATTGTAGGTTCTTCTGGTCCTATTATTATACATCTTGAATCATAAAGATGAGAACTATATTGACTTATTAAATTCGAAAAACGATGAACTATTATCTCATAATCTTTGCCATGGTGTGAGGTATCTACTGATAACTTTGCCACACCAATAAAACCAAAAGGACGTCGATGTGTTTGAAGACAGCCCCATTCAAGTGCATCTTGGCTATAACCTTTTGTAAACTTTAACAAAATCCTTCTATTTGTTCCCTGAATTTCAGCATGACTGATATTTGAAAGTTTTTGCAAAATAAAACTAAAATCTTGATCAGAGGTATTAAAAAATGGCCGAACTAAAATCAATATTCTTCCATGATCCAGTAAGTTAGGTCGAAAATCATAATGCATCATTTTAAAGATTTTTCTAAAATAAAAAACATGAAAAGAATTAGTTATATATTGATAAATGAGGACTAATTGTTATAATTATATAATATGTGCGTACTTAGCTATACATAAAACATTGCTAAAAATATCATATCTGTGGAAACATTAATATACAACTCCTGAAGGTTTTAGTTTAGCTATACTATAAATAAAGGATGTTTATCATAACAAGAAAAATTATTTATTTTTTATTATTCCTTTTCCTTTTTTTTCCTTCTGATAATATGAATACGCTAATTTAATATTATTATTATCAGTCGAGTTACGTCATTTTCTAGGCTTTTCTATTTTAAAGTAGTTTCTAGGCTTTTCTATACGCGTTTTTTTTTTTAATTTTATTTACTAACAACACGTATTACGGGTTGCTTACTGCTAGTTGTTAATAAGTGTGTTTTTGACAATTGTTGACAAGAGGGAGGGGGAAGATTAAGAAAAGTTGACGTCGAAAATGTTACTTTTTAATAAATTCAATTACCTAAAAAAAGGAAAAAAAGATTTTTTACTTGTCCATTTTAATTTTTTTAAGAGGGGGGGGGGGGGTAATCAAATGTTGACATAATTTATAGGAGCTCTCTGGAACCGAAAAATTGTTGACATAACTAATCGACAGCTTCTATGTCAACTTTTTGCTTCATATTTTAATCTATTGACTAATTACATTAACTTTATTAAGTCTACTTTTATTACTAACTATATTGTAAATATAAATATACTCCTTTAGTAATAACTTTAGTCTTAAATATCAGGAACTTTATTTTTTTAAGATATTAAAAAAAAAAAAACTAAATCATTTTTTTTTTTTTTTTTTTATAATCTACTAATTAATTTTTAGTTTAACTTACATTATGATATAACTTGAAATAAAAATAATCTCTGCTAATTTAAAAAGAGATACAATTTCAACATGGTTTAAAGAAATACCTGTTAGGTTTGGGGAGAGAGGTATTAAATGCAGAAGCTGAGATGTACAAATCCAAAGTTTTGGTAGCTCAAATGAGAAACTAGAGAAGTGTTTTTAAATGTAATATTTTAAAAGATGCTCAAAATGATTAAAAGATTGCAGAAAATATAAACCAAACAACTTAGGGAGCTCAAACTAGTCCATCTTAGAGAAAGCAGACTCTAGTCAACCTGTTGTAAAAAAAGTTTTTTATGCTCATATAAAAAAGAAGTGGTAAAAGTAAGCAGTGTCAAGACATTAGCAACTAGCAGTGGCAATAGATTTGATTCATACCTTATCAAAACACCAAGTTTGAAAAAAAAAGCAATAGATGAGCAGATAGCAAGAATGATTTATGATATATTTATAATGATATATATTTATATACTAACTTGCCATTAAGAATGAATTTCACTTAATAGAATTGAGATTGGTAGATAATTATTATTATGGTAGACAATCATTAGATACTGTCCACAAGAACAGCTGATCAGATTTAATAAGATAATCAATAGATACTGTCTACAAGAACTAGCTGATCAGGTTTGCTCAGTGATCAGTACATAACCACGATTATTGATGGGTCAAGTAATGTCCCCAATGAGCCAATAGTTTGTAAAGTACAACAATGAGTTCAGATATCTATTTTGCAGATACAACCAATGGATTTCATTCTATAAATAAAAACAAATTGGTGATTCAGCAAATGTGTCAAAACTGAGATGATAATTAGAAACGTAAAATGATGTTAATCTTATTAAGCTTGGATGTTCAGATCGTGCTGCTGTTGCTTCCATCTGAAGGAGCTAAAAGAATACTTTTATCATTTGGTATTGTACAATCAAATATAGAAAATTGCCTAAGAATTGAGAAAGCAGACAAATCAGTTTTTTTATTCAAACCATTTACTGAGATAGCAAATCAATGCATTTATTGGATCAATTCTTTAACAACTCATAAGTTAACATTGAAAAATAACTTTAAATGTTTGCAATTAATTTTGTTATGGTTTTTAAAATATAATTCTACTGAAGTTATTTTTTAAATAACTATATGTGATTAAAGTTTATAATTCAAAAATGTAAATAAATCTTGCAAATCTGATTTTTTGATTTTATTTAGAAATAAATGTGATTTCTATCAATCCTGATGATAAAAATCTTTAAAAATGTTTTATAAAAAATGTTCTAGAATTTTACATTAGTTACATGATAAGTTTACATAAGTAACATGTTTACATTAGTTACATGATGAGTTTACATAAGTAACATGTTTACATTAGTTCATGATGAGTTTACATAAGTAACATGTTTACATTAGTTACATGATGAGTTTACATAAGTAACATGTTTACATTAGTTACATGATGAGTTTACATAAGTAACATGTTTACATTAGTTACATGATGAGTTTACATAAGTAAACTCATTTCATTATTGTTTAATATCATTGTAGAAAATGATTTACACAATCTTTATATCATTATTACGAAAACATTTTAAAACATCTATAATCTAAAAATTAAATCAAAATATTTTAAAACATTTATAATCTAAAAATTAAATCAAAACATCTAAATAAAAATTAAATTAAAACATCTCTAATCTAAAAATTAGATTATATATACAATAAAATATTTTAAAACATCTATAATCTAAAAATTAAATCAAAACATTTTAAAATATCTATAATCTAAAAATTAAATTATATATACAGAAGGTTTAAAGACATAATGACGTATTATAAAAGTACAAAAAAAAAATTTTAAAAATAAGAAAAATATTTAAACAAAAACCAATTAAAATAAAAAAAAATCAGTCCATATAAATACAAATTACAACTAACACAAAATGACCATACACATATAAACAACACAAAAATATTGCACACATAAAAACAACACAAAAAGATTATACAAATTCAAGTAAAATACTATAAAAATATAAATAAAAACATAAAAGTCAACTTTCAAACATAACTAAAATCTACGCATAAAGAAATATGATCACTGGGATGATTAAAGGATGGAAATCTTTCTGTTGGAATATCAACTTCATCTGGCGGCAACAACACATTTTCCGGACTGAAGTATTCTGAAGAATAAAATATGTAATCAATAACCTGTTTTTTTTCTGAGTCTGGGCGCCTTTTCCAAGTGGTAAAAGACATTTTGCTGGAAAGCTCATTTAAAACATTTTTTACATTTATTTTAGCTTCTTTGATTCTTGAATGACACTCCTCATTTTCTTCGCTGTTAAAATCACCGCACCAAATTACAGAACTATTTTTATGTTTATTTAGCATTGATTCGATAACATTAATACAATCATTTGCTTGCGCTACTCGTTGCATTTCAAACCCATCTTTTGCTTTTAAATGGGTGACAGCAATAATTATACATTGACAAGTAATTTTATCCTCCAAAACACATGCTAAAATGGCTTGCTTTTTCTCTTTTTCATTTCCATCATTCAAATAAGATATAACAAGATCTTTTAATAAAAATCTTTCACTTTTGTAAAAAAGCGCAACACCGTCTGGACCATTATTAGGAAAATTAAAGCATGGAGAATCAAGTTTGGGCGCAAAAAACCCTCGATAACCTTTTGGAATTAAACAAGGAACAAAAAAATCATCAAAGTGATCCACTTCTTGAAGACAAATAACATGCGGATTTAAAGTATCTATGTGTTCCATTATTAATTTACTACGATGATCCCATTCCAAAAATTGACAAGGAACTTTACAAAAGTTTTCCGTTTCAGTGGAGTAGGTTAAGCCTAAAAAAATAGTTTTTATTTTGATTTATTGTATAATCTTATCTTATTTTTAAACTTAGAACAACATTTAAAAATATATAAGTTAGATTACATTGTATATTAAATACTACAATTGTAACAACCACTACATATTAGAGTGGTTCTAAAATCAACTTTTTTAAAAATGCTGGCACCCCCTGAATATATTGAATATAATAAAAAAATGCTGGATTTAAAATTTTTTTGAATAAAAAATATTTTAAGGGGTTGCTACCAATCCTCGAACATTAAATAGGTCCCTAATATTATTTAAGAAAAATTTTTCAAAAATATACATGTTGGGTCTCAAATGAAGCAAAATTATATTAAAATTTCAAAAATAATATTTATTTTATAAAAACTTTTATAAAAAAATTTTTATAAAAAAAATTTTAATCAAAAAATTTTGTTAAATTCCCTATTTTTCGTTTTTAATTAAAAATACATAATTTTCTGTTCACTAAAATCTAAAATAAAAATTTAAAAATTTGGAGACCCAACATGACATTTTCAAAACGTTTTTTCAATAAAATTAAGGACTATTTAATGTTCGAGGGTCGGTGGCAACCCTTTAAAATATTTTTTATTCAAAAAATTTTTAAATCCAGCATTTTTTTATGATATCCACATATTCAGGGGGTGCCAGCATTCATTTTCAAAACAAATTGTTTTTAGAACCACCCTACTACATATAATTATTGATAACTCACCCTGAGCAAGAATATTCCATTGTAAAACTCGAAATGAGGCATTATTACAAGTTTTTTCATTTAAAAAAATTCTTTTAATAAATGATGAATTATTTGATTGAATTTCCATATTTAGACGTCTGTAAAAACAAACTATTACCTATAAACACAATTATTCTTTCACAAAACAGAACAGAAAGGCAAGTGAAATTACATTTTAAAATAACAAAAACAAAACAAAAAAAAGCAAAAAAAAAATTATTTAGATTTTTAAATTTAACACTTAAAACAGCAAATGTTTTATTTTTCTGTTGACTTTAAATAGCTACTATAACTAACAATAACAAAGTTCACATTTGTATCTATTAAGAAAAAAGAATTATTTACAAGACAAATGATAAAATAGCAATGATATCATATCTTTCCTTAAGGGAGGTAACAATAATAAAGAGTCTGAGTTGAAACTTAAATGTTTCTTACAAATAACACATTTTACGGAAAATAACTCTTTGTATGGAGTTAAATATTTTAAGAAGCCGTGTAACAGCTCTTGTGGTTCTTTGTCATTTAAATTGATTAGTACTGAAGTAAAGATGTCAGATAAAGACTGAAATACAAAATAACTTGATTGGCTAAATTTATCAGCAACAAAGTTTTCTTCTATGCTTCGAACAACAATGTTAACAGCCTTAAAACCATAAAAATAAAGTGTCAATGAAAATTGAAGAGGAACTTCAAGATCAAGGCAACTTTCAGTTTGTAACTTTCTTGTGTTAAAAACTAATTCTGGAAAGTCAAGCTTTACAAGGTTTACAAGATCTATTAAATTTACTTCGCTGTCTTTTAATTTCTTGCATTTCCAAATATCAGTGAAAGAATTTTTTCTCTTTAGAATGGCAAAAGCATCATTGGAAACTTTATTAAGACCATTTAGCCAATTATAACATTCTGAAAGCCTTTCATAAAACAAACTTTGTTCTTCAGCAGGATCTAAGCACACATACCCTGTATTTCCAAGTGGAACAGGAATAACCTGATTTAATCTCAATTGAGAACACCGATTACCTAAACTATCCAGTTTAAAACGAATCTCATGAATTTGCTTCATTGTATCTTTAATAATGTGGAACTCTTTTTCAGCTTCATCATTTTTGCGAACAATTATAGTGTCAATAAATGAAGCCATTAAACTTTGAATATCTTTTATTTGATTTACAGCATTATTCAGATCAGAAGATAAACTAGTAATATCATTTTCATTTTTAGGTATTGAAGAAGCCATATTGTTTACTAAAAATAAAATAATATACATTATTTACATATATATATATATATATATATATATATATATATATATATATATATATATATATATATATATATATATATATATATATATATATTTATATATATATATATATATATATATTTATATATATATATATATATATATATATATATATATATATATATATATATATATATATATATATATATGTATATATATATATATATATATATATAATATATATATATATATATATATATATATATATATATATATATGCATGTGTGTGTATATGTGTGTGTGTCTGTATGTGTGTTGTGTGTGTGCACCCACCATGACTGTTACTAAATAACTCAGTATAAATAAAAACAGCAAAAATAGTAACAAATGTTCCTTAAAAAAAAAACATCTGTAAACAAAAATGTTGTTTAAAAAAAATTGTAAAGCTTAAATTAAAAATAACTTTATAAATTTTTACATAATTCATAGATGAGTTTCTATTAGAAAAATAACATTATTATTAAACAACCCGCTTATGAACCTATCAAATAATTACTTCTTACAAAGTAATTTAGTAGTCATCTATTTAGATATTATACATGTATGTACATCTTATTTATTTTAAAAAAATCCTAATGTATGTTTTAAAAACAAAATAACACAAAACAAATGATGAAATTTTAGATAATCTGAAACTTTAGACATAATATAAAAATAGATACAAAAATTTGATAAAAAAGAAAAAATTAATTTTATAAACGTAAAGCCTATTCTGATAAATTTAAAATCATTTTAAATTTCTAGTTAATATTATGTTTGTTTACCAGAACTTACAGAAGCTTTAAACATGTATTATAAACATTTTTATTATTTAATCTATTTATCTGATACACTGTTTGAATTCGAGCATGAGCACGGATAATAATTGCAAGTTCCACAATGGCCATAATGATTTCTTGTTTTATGCTGCTGCTGCTTTTTTTGTCTTGCTCTAGAATTTTGGAACCAAACTTGAGTGACACGCTTTGGAAGACTAACATCAGCAGCTATGCGTTCCAGCTCATTGCTATCAGGATTTGCATCAAGATCAAAATTAGCTTGTAAAATTAGAACCTGTTCATCAGTAAATGATGTGCGAACTCTCTTGTTTTTATTTTCATGCTTTATCCACATTTGATCTTCATCAACAATTAATTCAGGAGAGTTTTCCATAACAGAACTATTAGTTAACAAAACAGGACAAGAAGCAGGTAGTTCAAGATGTTCCACATAATGAAGTTTGCATAGTATACTATCTTCAATAAAAGCGAATTCTTCACCTGTAGAAAGTTGTCTCTTACATATATCACATGAAAAACATGCAAGATGATACACATTTTGCTTAGCTCTTCTTATCCAATCAGTTAATTGTATTGGTCTTGAGCAAGAAGAACATTTTATTTTTAATAAATTAGCATTACCCTCACAACTTATTTCAGTTGAATGCATCTTTAAAATAATATATATATATATATATATATATATATATATATATATATATATATATATATATATATATATATATATATATATATATATATACATATATATATATATATATATATATATATATATATATATATATATATATATATATATATATATATATATATATATATTACAAGCAAAAACTCTCCTGTTTAAGAGTCTCAAACAAATAAAACGAACTAGAAAAAAGTTAGATAAGTGCTATATGTATATATGTATATGTGTGGGTTAAATTTAAATTTAGTTGCACATGAAATAGAATTGAAAAAGTCATAGTGAAGTATCCAAGCAACCAAACTTAAATTTATCACCTGATAAAATTAGAAAACTATTAATATAGGTTGCAAGACTTATATTATTTCACCCATTTAACATGTCACCTCATAATCTATTAACACATGTAGATAATATTATTGTTTATTAATTTTCACTAATTCACAATTAAAATTATTTGCTTTAAAAATTTTTGCAAATGAGTTTGCTTTATGAATTTCTGTAAAAAAATGTGTAATATGAAATATGAAATCCTTTCAAATTTTTGAAAACTTTTAACTTCAGTAAAAGAAAATAAGCTAAGGTTATATTGGTCTCTTGTTCAAAAGTTTAAATTTTTCATTAACAAAACTGCTAAACTAGTACTATATATTTTTATAATCAATTTGTATTTCAATTTTCATTACGAATTCAATTAAAACCTAGCTCACTCTTGTTTAACAAGTAGCAGGTTTACTGCTGTTAAGGTAAAAATATGTAAGAAGATATTATTCTTATATTACATTTTTACAATATAAGAATGATATTTAGCAATATTTAAAAATACTAAAATAATAATAACAGAAATAATAGCAATAATAATAATAATAATAATAATAATAATAATAATAGCAATAATAATAATAGCAATAATAATATAAAAAATAAGCAAACTTTATTTAAAAATACTTAAATAATGTCTGCTTAAAATGTCTAGAAGAATAAACACATAATTAAAAAAATATATAACAATAAAAAATATATATAATAAATAAAAATAATATCAAAAATTATAACAATAACAATAATAATATTAATAATAACAAGAATATTAAAAACAATGACAACAACAACAACAACAACAACAACAACAATAACCAACAACAACAGTAACAGCAGCAACAACAACAACAACAACTACAACAAGAAGAACAACAAAAACTCCAACAACAATAATTATTATTATTATTATTATTATTATTATTTTATTATTTCTAAATAATATTTACATGTATTTTTAATAATATATTTAAAATATATTATATAATATATTATATAATATATAGTATAAAATATATGTTATAGTATTATTTTTCGTTATATATTTAAAATATTGTTTTAAATATATTACTATATAAAATAACAATTCCTATATTTATTTGCTCAATAATTTGCATTTATTTTCATTGCTTTATTACTTTAATAATTTAACAAAATTGTTTTAAGAATAATTTATATTATTTAGTAGTAATTTAAAAATGTATATATATATATATATATATATATATATATATATATATATATATATATATATATATATATATATATATATATATATATATATATATATTAATTGAAGCGATTTAATAAAATAAAAATTATTTTACTTATAAAAATAATTTTATTAAAATACATTTTTAAACGTCCGTATTCAAACCGCCTAATATGGTTTGACGAAGCTTTTAGTCAAAAAATGGTTATTTATGGTGTTTTAGGTGTAAAGAAATGCAAAAAAAATTAAAATTCATATTTAAATATAAAAATATATAAAAATACAAATCGTCAGCCGAGATTCAGGAGGTCGTATCTCTAATTTTTGTATTTTTGAGAAATTGAGTTTTTTTTTTTTTTTTTTTTGAGATCAGATTTTGTGAACGTACGTAGGGGATTAAAATAAAATAAAATCATCTACAATAAAATAAAAGGGGGTGAATCTTTTCAAAAAAAATTTTAAATGCTTCAAAAATAAAGGCTGTTTCAGTGAAAATCTTTAAATAAATTCAAAACTTTAAACATTTCTAATTGTCTATAATTTCTAAGTGTCTATTAGTACTAATTCTAAGTGTATATAAGTACTATTTGAAGCAAATTTTTACTGCGTGTAGATAAAGTAGTAAAGGATGTTCTAAACTAAAATCTAACTTAAAATCATTACCAATCTGTAAAAAACACAAGATTTTTTTGCTCTATGTAGTTTTTTTTTGATTCAGTACCTAAATCTCACATTAAAGAGTGCTGTATTTGAATTTTTCTATGTTTTTTTCATATTATTACTTATTTTACTTGATCAATTTGCTATATATATGCATCGCTTGTTTTCAGGGCCGGAGTTAGTGGCAATTTATATGTTCCTTGAAAGAGAAATTTGCGTTTTTAGGTTTTTATTCATCCATAATTTTTAAGTTTCATAATAAAATATTTTAGCGTTCAAAAATTATGACCATATAAAGTTTAAACCCCCTCAACTTAAGGGATTTGCAAATTTTATATTGCCATAATTTTTGAACGCTGAGAGATAATACTATGAAACTTAAAATTTATCGATGATTATAAGTCTAGTTGAAAATGGCACAAAAAATATTTCATCACGTTTGGGGCAGGATAGGCCAAAATTATGGGGCTTTTATGTTCCTAAGCTCCAATCATCGCAATTTTTTGCAAAGCATCCTCATTTAACATAAATATAAGCTTATAAATGTTTGGAGTTTGCTCCAGGTCTGGAAGTTAGCTATCTCAAAGACCAAGAAATGCTGGCACCGGTGCCGCGTAACAAGTTTTCCCCCATATTTTTTTCCCCCCGGAATTTATGTAACGGGACAAACTTTCCCCTCGGAAAATATATTTTAGAATAAATATTCCGGGGGGGGGGGATAAAACATTTCTTGCCCGCCCGCAATAAATGTTCCCCCGATAAAAATTTTGCTAAAACCTTTTTTTTTTTTTTTGATAAAAAAAAAAAAAAAAGGTTTGTGTAATGATTGTTAAGGTATTTTAATTATTAAATAACATGCCTTAACATTAAATATGACCTATTCTAAGGAACGTTGGTATGTGTGGCGGCGCTTAATGTAAAATTTTCACATGGCTCCCAGTATTTCATTAGCAAAAACAAAACCAAATAAAATAAAAATTAAGTATTAGCTGTATTTTACAGTATTGTTCAGTATTTTTTAAACTGTACAACTTTACATATTTTACTATAAATTAATAATAACTATTGTTTTGTATTTACAAACATGCAATATTTGTATGTTTGTACTTTTATATAACTAGTTGAATAATAGACATTTGAAAATATTTTTGTTCGTTACTGAGAGTAAATAACTATAATAAATATAAAATGAAAGTTTTTTCATAAAAATGATTTGCAATTTATAAAATGATTTAATTAATCGTAACAAAAAACTTACACAGATTTCAATAACATAATCAAAAAATATCCACACAAAATTCGAAAACTAAAGAGCTTTTCAAAACATTCAAAAACGTTCTAAACTTGCAAGTAGTTATTTTGCTAACAATCAAACAAATAATTTTAATAATTAGTTTGCGACTTTAATGGAAAAACCGCGTAAAAAAACTTTATCTGGTACTTATTTTTTATGATTGATGCGTTTGATTCAAGTAAAACTTTATTTTTTTAATGTAGAATCATTTAGTTAATTTAGTATTTAAACCGAATTTAGCATTTAAAATCATTTTATTTGCGCATTTAATTGCGCAAGTCACATCAATTTGTATATTTAAGTATTTAGTATTTATATTAAGTATTTATATTTAAGTATTTATATTTAAGTATAGTATTTATATTTAAGTATTTATTATTTATATTAAGTATTTAAGTATTTAACTTATGTCACGGAGGAAACTTTATTTCGCAGATAGGGGAAAAGATATTACGAGGGGAAAAATATTATTTTGAAATGAATTTTCCCCCCGGAAAGAATATCTCGGCCGGGGGGGAAATTCTATAATGGGGAACATTTATTTCGTGACACCGGCCTTTATTTTAGAAAAATAAAAGATAAAATAGCTGTAAATTAAAAAATTTCTTTTCCTATTCAATCTTATTTTATCTTTATTATTGCCCACATTTACCCACATTTACTAACTCAATAGCTATAAATAAAGGTTTCAAAAACATCTAAGCATTTATTTCAAAGAACACACAAATTACCACAAACTATAGATTTTCTATATAGCTTGTGGTAATAGAAAAAAACAATTTTAATAGAAGAAATTGCAACGATTTATAAATATTTTATTGTATTTTTGATGAAATATAAAACTCAAAATTTCTTAAAAGAAATTATAAATAAAATATAATTAAAGCAAATTTTAAGATAAAAGGGGCAAATTTTAAAAAAATCTGAAATATTTATGACTATGTAAAACTGAAAAATTTAGTCGAAAAGCTTTTTTTTAATCTCGAGATATAATGTTTTGAATTTGCAAAAAAAGAATAAAATTAAAGTTATGAAAACAATAAACAATGTTTTCCGGTAAACAGAAATTATTAGCAATAAAATAAAAAATGAAACCCATAAAAAAATTTAAGTAAGGTAATATTAGTAAGTATTTTATGCAACAATGTATATACTTTCTCAAAGAAAGTATGTACATTTTGCATCATATGGTATAATAAAAAAAAAAAATTCAAACTTTTTTAGAAAATTGAGGATTTTTTCAATATGAGCTAGGCTAGGCTGCACACAAAAAAAACCTGTAATTTGGGCCCCAATTTCTTAAAATGCTTTTCACTAAGCATTACTTATAAAAAAAGCTCTAAATTTGCAAATGGGCTCCCTAAAATTGCTGACTCCCACCCACCCCACCACCCAGTCTATTAACACCTCTGGTATGAGACAATTAAAAGACACCTCTAAATACACACTCCACTGGTTAAGGAATACTTATTGAGAGTTAAAAAAAA